ATTCTGTTTGTAGGAATGCCAGCGCTGATTCAATGAGCGCCGGCTCACAGCAGTGTGCCTTGTGGCCACGTGGCTCTGTGGGTCAGAGCTGCCGCATGTCCTCCCATCCCATCCCCTCCATCCCAAATCTCCCAGGTCCACATTTTTAAGACTGAGAGACGTGAATCTGGGGAGGTGAGGGAAGTTCAAACACCTTCTGCTTTCACAGACAGGGGAGTTGGCGCTTGCTCCGTTGACTCGTGCTGATGAAACCAATGGCGCTGCCTTCGGAATGCTACAAATTCCTGGGATGTGCCACTGGTGGGAAGGTCCTGGTTGCTGCATAGGGAAGCTCCATAGGCTGTGGAGCCCTGTGAGGTTGCTGCGCTCTCAATTTGTGGGGCAGGGGGCTGAATAACCCCATAAAGCCATCCTGTGAGCAGGAATCGGATAGCAGTAGTTTTATTTGGAAAAGGAGAGGGAGCTGAGGTTACATCACTGTGTTTGAAGCGATGGATTCGTTTTCTTTGGAAGCTGGGCCGAGACGCTGGAGCTCACGAGAAGGAACAAACCCATAAATCTTCACGCCCAGAGCCCTGCGGGTTCGCTGTGCTTTGTCACAGCCCCACAAGAGCCAGCGTGGAAAATGTGTCGCGGTGTCACCGCCGTCACCTGCGGCTCTTGGGGTGGGAGGAGCAGGGTTTAGGGCTGGGAGGATGGCACAGTGCATGGGATGTGGGGACAGGTGGCCCCGGTGCCACTGTGCAGCTGGGCAAACCCACCTCCAGCACGGGGCAAGCAGCTATTGGGGTTCTTCATCTGGGGGAAGAAGGCTTTGGGGGGGTCTTCCTCCATGAGCAAGCGATTTTGGGGGAGGTCTTCATCCATGAGTAAGCAGTTTTGGGCGGTTTTTCACCCCTCGGTGCTTCATGGCTTGGGACAAGCAGCTGGCCCCATCCGTGCCAACCAGGGGTGCCAGCTCCACCGCAGCGCCAAGAGGGTTAATTACTTAACGAACGTAATATTCTCTCTAATTGCTCCGCATTATTAATCCCAAGCAAAGCAAGAGGCGCAGGGAGGACTGCACAGCCGGGCAGCTCCCGCCTTGTCAGCTCCAGCCAAGAACCCTTCATCGGCCCTGGGTCTCTTTGTTGGCCAACCTGGCGGTTCCGTGCCAGTCCATCCGTCTGTCCGTCCATCCCTATGCCCCAGCTCCATTGAGCACCAGGGCTGTGCCACGTGCTCCTAGGAGCGGCCGTGATTAGATTACGGAGGCAGACAGCAGTAATGATTAACTCGCTCCGTCTGCGCGCTGTCTCCAGTCTGGCGCGGGGTGCTTTTCCCCCTCGCAGGGCCCTGGCCCCGCGGCGGCGATGAAGCTGTAAAGCCAGCCGGGAGGAATGAGGGGGGAGAGAGCCGCTCTGCAGCGGATCCGGGAATGGAATTTATTGGCAGGAATGCAGTAAATGCTCCAAATGCCAGCCCCGCTCCACCGTTTTCATAATGGTTACGCAGCGGGGCCGGCGGGGGCACGGCGGCGTGAAAAGGACTTTTGTTCCGTGTTTCCATGTTTTGCAAAAGCCTCTCCCTGCCCTCTAGGAAGGAACGCGGCGCGGGGTGGGTGGTGGGCTTCTTAATTCTTTTTTTTTTTTTTTTTTCCCTTTTTTTTTATCCAAGGGAAACGTCTGTTTTTGCTCTTGCAATAACTTTGGGGAGAGCTGCAGGTCAGCGTGCTGTGGGGAGGGGATCTTTTTTTTTCCCCTGTGGTTGCAATGGGATGCTGTGTGTGTGTGTATCTGTGTGGACTACACTCAGGAACAGATCCCAGCACACATCTGGGCATTGGGTGTCCGTGTGGAAACAGTGCCCCGCTCTGCTCCGGGTTTAGGAGGGCTTCTACAGCCCTTGTAGCATGCAGCCTGCAGAGCTTCATGTTGTCAGTGAGGGGATGACACATGGGCAGCCACCATATCCCCACACTGGAAGCCAGTTCCCCAAAATTGTGGGTCATGGTTGGATTGGTGGTGATGGCTTGGGGTTGTGCTGGGTGATCTGAGTTGGTCTTTTTCAACCTTAATAGTTCTGTGATCTGGGAGAGATGGGAGCTGTGCTGGGGAGGGTCATGACCTACCGTGGCTTTGGTGGCTGTGATTTATGCCTGTGCTGGAAAGATGACGGGCAGGGTGCTGTCACCAAGTCAGCATTTCTGGCAAGCTTGGGGCTGGTTGGCCTAGTTGGAAGCCAGGAGCTCTTTGTGTGCTGGTTTCTCCTTTCTCTGAAGGTTGAGGTGCAGAAGGGGTGTGCCCCGCTGGATCCAGGCAGGGAGGTGTTGGCTCACCAACAGGGTCTGGGGCCAGTACCACCCCCCAGTGGTTGGTGTTTAAGGAACTTGGGGATGTGCCACATGGGGACAGGATTAGTGGGCATGGTGGGGATAGGTTGGGGTCAGGCTGGGGGGTCTTGGAGATCTTCTTCAAACCTGATGATCCTATGATTCTTTTTAGGGTCACGGTCAGTTGGCATAGTGGTAGGGGTGGTTTAGGGTTGGGCTAGAGGATCCTGGAGGTCTCCAACTTCAGTGGTTCTGTGATTCTGTAATCACTGAGGTTTGCTGAAATCTCCCTTATTGGCATTAAAATGAGATCACACCTACTTGTACAGAATGCACTGCCAGAGCATCCCGGAGCCCTCAGGATGCAGTAGGACACATGTGGTGCCAGTGGGGTCTTGGGAGAGCGTTGCATTAGGATGCAGTGTATCTCATTCTTTTGGCTTGAATTCCCTTGGTCATTCCTTCCTATCCCCGGGGCTAGTCCCTGTCCCCATGGGGGGCCTCCTCCTTCTCACCCCATCTGGGCAGGTCTTGGCACGTGGCACAGGGAGAGGAGGGATTCCCATTCTGCTGCTTTGAGAAAAAGGAGCAAAGTTTCCCACACCTTTGAGGGGTGCAGCAGGAGAGGCAGATAAAGAAGGTTCTTTAAATTAAAACTTCAAAAATAATTAGGCTGACTGTATACTAAACAACAGCAAAGAGGCCCATTTACTGTAAATATTATGAATGGATTTGGCTGCCTTCTCCATCCCCGCCCTTCCTCTAAGGCTTTTCTCTGAGCTGAGTCGAAATTCGGCCTTCAGACAGCGCACTACTCTATAATTTGCATGGCTGATGAGGCCCCGAGCCTGGTGCAGAGGAAGCTGGAGTCAGCTGGCTCCGCTCTAACCGCTGCAGACGGCAGACGGGCGCTTCTGGGGTGTGCATGGGGATTTTTTTCCCCTTGTGCTGCAGCAGGCTCAGCCCAGTGGCTTGAAAAGAAAATGGGCACAAAGAAGGGTTCTTCTCTTCTCGGGTAATTTTTAGCCATGGTAATTGATTAATCACCGTAATTAGACAGTAGCAATGACTAATAGGATGTTTGTGAATCAGATTTCTGGGTTGGTGGACTCCGTGAACCCAGCAGTTTCACTTGTGCTCTTTCTTTGCTGTTCCATTAGTGTGCATTGTAGGGTTTGGTTTCTTCGGTCTGTGCTTTAATTAAGCCCCAGTGTTTGGGGACAGGTTCCAGCTGGGCACCCCAGGAGAAGGGTAGCCCACAGCGCCCCTGCGTTGGGCTGGAAGCCATAGGAGATGTCCTCAGGGACCCACTCTTTCCTCTTCCCACTCCATTTTTGTCATGATTTCATGAAGGAGTTTTGCTGCCCTGGTGAAGGTGATGGGATTTCATGCATGGGTCCCCATGGGGTGCCTGGAGTTCCCATGGAATACGGAACAGAGTGCTCCCATTAGTGCTCTGCTCACTGCTAAGTGAGTCCAGACCAAAACCCTGGTTGGAAACATTGGGAAATCCCAAATTCTGTCCCACTTCTGTGAACAAAACCTGTGTGGGTATGGATTTTGACACATGGTTGACTTACTTTGCTGGGATCGTAGAACCATTAAAGCATTTGGGTGTGCAACTCTCTAATAAATTAAAGAAACCATCTTAAGGCTCTTTAGCCGACATCACTGCTGTATAGGTTGGGTTGTAAGAATAGCCTAATTAGACAGAGACACAAATGTAAGGTCTAGCCTGTCTATCCGCAGATTAAGGGCTCCCTAAGCAGCCACTGACACGATGGGCTGGAATGGTTCCTAAAGGGATGTCAGGGTCTACAGTGTCAGTAATCTGCAGATTAAGGGCTCCCAGAGCATCAGGTCTGATTGAGTGTTGCGGTGTTTTAGGGCCTCAACATGGTTTGTTGGATGGGAGCATCCCTGGGGGGTTGTCGCTGTGGAGTGCAAAACTTGCAGTTTGCCTTACAGAAACCAGGCCAGCCATCAAAAGCAAGGGAGCTGAGATAGAAAAAGGGTTGGGGTAAACGTTTCCCTGGGCAGTGAAAGCTCCAGGAAAGGCCTTTTCTACAGTAGTGCCCTTTAATTTTGATTTCTCTTTACTCTTACAAGGCGTACCTGGAAATCTGTCTTTGAAGGACTTTTCTAGACTTTGGGGGTTTTTTTCGTTTGTTTGTTCCCCCACTTAAGGACATTGTGAGTGACCTGAGAGGCTAGGAGGAAAGGCACATTGCCTATTTCCCTTAGCTTTGACTAGCTCTGGGCTTGCTTAGTGTTCTCCTTGTTTCAATTCTTGGTGGGTTCCTGAAGAAGGGCTCTGCCTAATTCATCCTTTCTCCCTCCCTACCCTCTCAGTTAGGTATCTCCATCTTTTCCATCTTGGTGAGCAGCAGAAGATGGGGGGACAGCCCAGCCCCTGGCTCACCAGTGCCATTTGAGGTCAGGCAAAGGGGATTATTGGGCACAGTGTGCTGAGCTCTATCTCAGCCTCAGTCCTGGCCAGATGACACATTGTGCTGACACCAGCCCAGCCCTTTTTTTTAAGCTCAGATGCCCTCCGCATGTGCTGACGTAAAGGAGGGGAAGCATTTGCTTCATCTGGTCTCAACACTATGTGCACGTGTTAATTCATCTGCTGCTGTTGTTTGTTCCCAGTGGGATACTGGTCGTGGGTCTGGGGTCACCATCTAACTATTCCTGTTGGGTTATGGTCATGGGTCTGGGGCCACCACCTTCCATTTCCCATTGGGTTATGGTCATGGGTCTGGGGCCACCACCTTCCATTTCCCATTGGGTTATGGTTATGAGTATGGGGCCACCACCTTCCATTTCCCATTGGGTTATGGTCATGGGTCTGGGGCCACCACCTTCCATTTCCCATTGGGTTATGGTCATGGGTCTGGGGCCACCACCTTCCATTTCCCATTGGGTTATGGTCATGGGTCTGGGGCCACCACCTTCCATTTCCCATTGGGTTATGGTCATGGGTCTAGGGTCACCACCTTCCATTTCCCATTGGGTTATGGTCATGGGTCTGGGGCCACCACCTTCCATTTCCCATTGGGTTATGGTCATGGGTCTGGGGCCACCACCTTCCATTTCCCATTTGGTTATGGTCATGGGTCTGGGGCCACCACCTTCCATTTCCCATTGGGTTATGGTCATGGGTCTAGGGTCACCACCTTCCATTTCCCATTGGGTTATGGTCATGAGTATGGGGCCACCACTGTGAGTTGGTTGGGTGAGGGTACTCCAAAATGGGCAACCTTTTGTTCCTGTGTCAGGGCTGGTGTTTGGTGGGAAATCCCAGCCCAGGCATCTCAGAGGAATATGGGAGAGGAGGGGGGTGTGGGTGGCAGGAAGAGCATGGGAAGACCCTTGGGGGCACAGCTCTTCAGCCATGTCGATCAGTTCAAACACTTCTGCAGTCGGGTAACGTAATTAACGCGTAGTTGTAACATCACTGGGAAAAGATCCAATTAGGGGCATTCAAAGGCTTAATCAGGAGCGGTGGTATTCCCAATTCCAGATAGCAGTGACGAGGATGCAGATAGCTCCTGACTGGATCAGATGGGAGCAACTGGGCGGGCCCACAGCCCAGCATGCGCTCCGCTTGCTGTTTTCATTAGAAGTCGCTTGATTACAGGAAAACCTTTAGCTATGTCAAAACAAAACAAAGCAAAACAAAAGATCCCCTTCTCACCTCCCCCCGCTGGTGTTTGTGAACTTGGCACCGAGACAGGGCTGAGAGCTGGAAACCTATGGAGGCTTTGGCTTCTCTGCCTCTGGGCTGCAAAAGTTGCTTTAAATTCCACCTAAATTCCCTTTTCTGAGATGAGCTAAGGAGTCTCAGTTCTTCCACGGTGAAAAAGAAACTTTTTCTTCCTCCTGCCCTCATTTTCCATTATTATATTTGTTCTTTACAGTAAGTTTGCACAATGGCCTTGGTCCTGATGGGGCCCCCGGGCAGCTGTCGTGCAGCCATAGAAAATAATAATAAACCACCGACAGCAGTGGATGGAGGGGCACTTAATAACGAAACAAGGGCATGCATGTTTCCAGCATTGAGCAGCAGCATTGTTTGTTGGGATGTGGGAGTGCCCGGAGCTCACTGGGACTCTTCTAGGCATTTAGCTTTGAAGGGATGTGTGTGCTCCGAGGACCTTGTAAAAACTGTGGTTTTAACTCAGTACAGGAATCCTAAAGAGCTGCTCAGCCTTTGGTGTCCTGGCTGCACAGGAGATCTGGCCACAAATTTCCCAAGATTTGGCTTCTTTGTGCCACAGATTTTCCAGTATATTTTTACTTTTTTTTTTTTTCCCCACTAATTTCCCATGATTTGGGGTTTTGTTTTGAAAAGTTTCAAAGATTTTCTGTTTTTTCCCTCCCCCCACAAATTCGCCAGGGTTTTTGTTTTTATCTTAGTTTGCAGTAGGGTTCACTGCTGAGAAAGGGTCTGGTTCCAGCATGGCATTGGTTTTCTTGTGGTAGGTGGCATGGAAACATGAGATGAACTCAAAGCAATGTCTTGGGGTATTTGAATCATAGAATGACTGAGGTTAGAGAAGAGATCAGGTGCGACTGTGAACCTATCTCCACCATGCCCACACACAGAGAATGAAGATTGGAAAAGATCTCTTAAGGTCAGGTCCAACCACTGAGTCTCCCCATCTTGCCCACTCATGGAGTCACAGCAGCACTAAGATTGCAGAAGGTCTCTAAGGTCATCGAGTCCAACCATCAACAGGTCACTACTGTACCCCTGTGATCAGAGAAACATGAAGCTTGGAGAAGACCTCCAAGGCCATCCGTTTCAACTGCTGGCCCATCACCACCCTGCCCAATCACAGCATTTTCAGGGTTAGGAAAGACCTCCAAGATCCCCAGCCCCAGTCTGCCCCCCACCATGCCCACTGACCATCTCATCAATTCCCACATCTCCACAGTTCTTGGCTACCTCTGGGGCCATTCTTACCCCTCGCTATGCTCGTGTAATTTGGGGAACAAATGTCCATAAGCAGCATCACTGCATCATTTTTTCCTTCCTTCTTATGACCTCCTCTCTCGCCCCGCTGACGCCATTGGCTTTTCCCATTCATTCGTTCAGTGGGAAACACGGGTGCCAAGAAAAGAGGGGAGCAGGGAGGTCCCAGCGGTGGTGAAAAGCAGCACCGGTGGGGCTGGCAGAGGGCCTGGGCCTGTGTGATTCCCATGGCTGCTGTAGCAGACACCCAGCCAAGAGTGGAGCCCGTGGGCGGAAGGCGCTGTGCCGTATTTACACCGCACTGTCCAGAATCCCGGATTACCTAAGCCTTGTCCGTGAGGTCTGCTCGCCCCGTGCCATTGAAAACCCGAGTGGGATTCATTCATGAGCTCCAGCCCTCCACAGAGCTCTGTTCATTCATCGCCAGGGCGGTTGGCTTCTTCTGCTTTTTTTTTTTTTTTTTTTTTTTTAATGCAATTAAATACCTCTTTGTACATCGGGCTGAGCCACTCGTTAAGGGGTCTTCTCAAACGTAAGCACAAACACGGGGTGAAAAAGGCCTTTCTGCCCCTCTCTTCCCTCCCCCCCCCCCCCCGCCTCCTGAAAGGGATGCTTTTATGTTAAAGAAAATAAACAGAGGGATTTTAGCAGGTCCAACGCCTGCTGCAAAATTCCCTCCACTGCTGTAAAGCAGAACGCGTGCAAGCTGCAGGCACCAGTGGCTGCAATTACTATGGAGGGTGAAGGCAGGGGGGAGTTGGTGGGGGTTGGATTTTTATATTTATTTATTTTTACAACCTAGCTTTGCTTTCCCAGCTCTTTAAGCAAACAGCGAGTTAAAACATCTTGAAATATCAAATGCAAAATGAAAAAAATAAAAAAAAAATTGAAAACAAACCCCTGGGAAGGGTGCGGCAAGGGAGGGTGGGGGGGCACAGCAGCATTTACATCACCCCGCAGCATTCTGTTTTTAGGGGGGGAGGGTGTGGAAAAACGCACTGCTGGGGGTATTTCTCACTGCTACCCCCCCCCGGCACACCTTCCTTTTTGGGCCATGAGCCCCCATGACTGCCAGTGACTGCAGAACTCTGTTCATTGCTGGCACTGAGATGAGGAAATGAGCGTTGCATGGCTGCGGCGCTGGAGCTGCGTTTTGTTGTTGTCTTTTTTTCTTCTTGTTTTTGATTAAAAAGAAGGCTGTGCCGGAGGAGCAGCAAGAAGTCGTAGGTGAAAGACACAGAAAATGCTGAGAATAGTGACATTAAGTCTTGGGGTGGGCTGTGGGGGAAGAGGGTGCTGCTGGATCACCCCCATGCTTTCCTGCAGCATGGTTGCATTTTGGGTTTTTTGTTTTTTTTTTTTAAAGTGCAATTATAGAGATGAATGGTTCCCAGGTCCCAACATGCCTGCAAGGACTGGGAGGGATTACAGAGCAGCACCGTGTGCGGATGCTGCATCAAGGAAAGGGGTTTGGTGCTGCTCAGCACCCCTGGCCCCCTCCCCTGGTACTGTAACCCCACTCCAGAGGATGGAGTGAAGACAAGGGCAAAGGGAACCAAGTTTTGGGTGGCTTTTGTGGCTTTTGGGGCTGTTTTTCTTAACAGCACTCAGCTTCCGGCCTCCACCCCACTGCCTTCCACTTGGCCTGGGCTTCCCTCACCTGGCTCTATGAAAGCCCCACAGTGGGGCAGCTGAACCCAAGGGTGGTGTCCCGTGTGCTGCTTTTGGAACCACGTCTTGTTTTATCACACTGGCTCTGCACAATGGGTGGTGATTTGTTCATGAAGATGGGCTGTAGAGTGTTAGGTTGCACCCTTGGTATGCTCAGTGATCATAAAATCATCACAGAATGGTGGAGCCACAGAGTGGGGACCTCGAAGGTCACAGAACTAGAGAGTGGTTGGGTTGGAAGGGTCCTTGAAGATCACAGAACCGGAGAAGTGTTGGGTTGGAAGGGACATTGGAGATTATGGATTGATTGGGTTGGGTTGGAAGGGGTCTTAGAGACCCCAAAATTCCAACCCCTTGCCTTGAGTAGCACCATTTCCCACCACAACAGCTTGTCCAAGGCCCCATCCATCCCGGTCATGGGCAACTCCAGGGTGCTGAGGTTGTCCGGGTGTATGGAGAGCATTGTGAAAAGATGGAGCTCATGACATCGCATCACTTTTGGATCAGAACGCCTCCACAGTCCTCAATTTCTCCATCTTTTTGTCTCCCTGTAGATTCCCAAGTTCTACAGGAGTCAGGGGATAACTCACACTGGTGCGTGGTGGCATACTGGGAAGAGAAGACACGCGTGGGTCGGCTGTATTCTGTCCAAGAGCCCTCCCTGGATATCTTCTATGATCTACCTCAGGGGAATGGCTTCTGCCTCGGGCAGCTCAACTCGGACAACAGAAGCCAGCTGGTGCAGAAGGTGCGCAGCAAGATCGGGTACGGCATCCAGCTCACCAAGGAGGTGGACGGCGTGTGGGTCTACAACCGCAGCAGCTACCCCATCTTCATCAAGTCGGCCACACTGGACAACCCCGACTCCAGGACGTTGCTGGTGCACAAAGTGTTCCCGGGTTTTTCCATCAAGGCTTTCGATTACGAGAAGGCGTACAGCCTGCAGAGGCCGAACGACCACGAGTTCATGCAGCAGCCGTGGACTGGATTTACAGTGCAGATCAGCTTTGTGAAGGGCTGGGGCCAGTGCTACACCAGACAGTTCATCAGCAGCTGCCCGTGCTGGTTAGAGGTTATTTTTAATAACCGATGACACGAGACGGAGCGGACTCACGACATTTATACTACTTTGCTGCTATTACTTCCTTCTGAGTGCTTGCTTTTCATGCAACCTTTTTGTTTTTGTTTCGTTTTGTTTGTTGTTTTTTTTTTTTGGTTTTTTTTTTTCCCCCCCTATTTTGAGAAATAGCTTATGGAAAGATTTTCGCCTGGGTATTTTGATAAATAGATCTATTTTTTGAAAGTGCGAACGACCAATAACTCGAGAGGAGGGCGCGTGGGGCAGGGAGAGATCGCATATGATTATCATTTCCCACTTCCCAAAGGATTGTTCTATGTGATGGATGGGTCGGGAGCCACTTGCTCTTGGGTAGCGTGAGGGGATCCTTATATTTTTCACGCCTCCTAGTCCCAATGCTGGTGGCACCCGACCAGTACCCCTGCCCAGCAGTGCTAAGCCAACGTAGCCCCACCAATGGTGCACAAACTTCCCACCAGGTCTTACTCCACCCGTGTGGTTTTTGCCATTGGATTTTGCCATTGGGCCGTTGCTGTTGTTGGGTTCACCTCCCGCCCATCCTT